GAAAAAGAAAAATAACTTACCCAAGTGAGTAAACAAATTTCTAGCAACTTCAAGCAGTGCCTAAGAGATAAAAGAAAGTATTTTACCAAAATGAAAAAAGTTAACATCTAAATTTAATCTATTCTAAAGATATCTAGTGATATGAAATAAAGAAATATGTTTTTTTTTTGAAGTGAAAGAAAGAATGAATTTAAGTAAAGTGGTTTGGTTAAAGATGAAGTTAAATTGTAAAAGATGGCATTTTTAAAATGCAGCTGAACTAGTTTTGCTAAATAAACATCTATAGGCCACTTAATTCAATCATAAGAACAAGTCAATTTAAAGAAGTGATGATACTTGAAAACATGTAATCATTAAGTGTAATTACGCAATGAAACAAGTCAGCCTACGTCAAGCCAGAGAGTTTGAGTACTCTAACAATTTTATGTATATGAGCACATATGTATTTCATTGGAACATTTACATGGAATTTTGAAAACTCTTCATGTGTATTCACATCTAAAGTAAGCATTTTGAAAAGAAGAAACAAATGTTCTTCCACATTTCAACAGTGTTAATAAATACCATCAGTTTAAAAAGTAAATATCATTAATGCTACAGAATAGAGTCAAATTGTCATAGTTCATCTGAGTGAGTTCCTACATATCTTGGTTAGACTTTCATCTCCATACAGATGGAAGGGTCAAACAGGAAAATATAGAGGAAATAATTTTCTTGAAACACAAAATTTTCACATGTCCAATTAATAATACATTAAATCATTCTAATTAGGAAACAGAATTACATGGCTAAAATGTAATAACATTATTTTGAAATAAGCTGCAGGATTAATCCTAATTTATCGAAACATTGAGAAATTTTTGAGAATTATTTATACATTAAGTCATGTGCTAATTACTTTTTCTTTTTTTCTTTTTTTTTTTAGCTAAAAGGCCTTCATATGTCAAACTTTGAAAGTCATTTTTTAAGTAAAACATTTATTCTTCTATTATAAAAATTGTGATTGGATTTTTCTACAACTCATTCATGTGAACAGTTTATGAAAGAAAATATGTGAGTTGATGTTTAATACTTCTTACATATTATCATTGAAAGATTCTCCTTCATTTTCAATAATAGTATTCATGCATATGAGTTGATATTTTTGTGTTTACTGATATATATATATATATATATATATATATATATGATAAAAAATATAGTTGTAAGGTATGCTACAGTTATTGGTTAAAGTGCTCAATATCAGGGATAGAGCATATGTAAATATAAAAAGAGACATTATTAAGGTCAACAACTAGCAGAGACAAACTGATCCATGCTTAAATGCAATCTTCAGGCAATCTTCACTGGATGTTGACCTCAATGTCCACTTTCATATATATATATATATATATATATATATATATATATATATATATATATATATATATATATATATATATATATATATATATATATATGATATACACACATACAAGTAGACAGTTCATTTCATGCTTGGCAAGCCTGCTGATTTCATTTAAGCATGAAATACACTGACACCATATTTGTGTATTTAAGCAGCAATCCTTCTTTCATGTAGATTTTGTTGAATATAACAGACAAGGTGCTTTTATTCAGTTTTATACAATTTCTCATGTGATCTAATAGTTTCTTTTCTTTTCAGATGATAAATTATATAAAAACTGTCCAAATGAATAGAAACATAAACAATAACATTAATATTTTCTAAAAATCAAATGAATGAAAATTATAAACAAGACGAAAGTAGAATTAAGAATATTATAAAAAAATGCATAACACCAGTTGACAATAGCAAAAAAATTAGATTAATTATTTATTACAAAAAATTTAAAACCTCTAACCTTATAGTTAAAAATAATAATTCACCTCTTAGAACAAAATTAAATACGGCAAATATTATTTATGAATATAAATGCCCATTAGGGAATTGTATTCCTGATCAATCAAAATTTGTAAATAATTATATAGGCCACATTACAACATGCAGACTCACTCTACACCTTTCTGACAATAGCTCAATTAGATCACATTTAAATATTCATGGAGACCTACCGGACACTATTCATAATATACTTGTTGACAACACTAATATAATAGCATCATCTACATGCAAAAAAAAAAGACTAAAAATAATTGAATTAATAAAAACAAAAAAACCAACACTTAATAATATCAACTATGAACATGGACACAATATTCATACCATGTTTTGAAAAATGAAACCATTATATAAATACATACATGCAACCAATTATTTCTTATTTAACAGTTAAAATATTTAATCCTTGAAAATAGCTAAATGTATAGCCAAAAGTGCTCGGATAAAAAGAACATTCGTACAGTTTTTATATAATTTATCATCTGAAAAGAAAAAAAATTATTAGAGTGCATGAGAAATTGTATAGAAAACTGAATAAAAGCACCTAGTCTGTTGTATTCAATGAAATGTATATATAAAGTTATAAATTTAACCATTTCCTTTTATTTAAAATACTTAAGATCTCTAGTGCATTTGAAAACTTTTAAAGGATCTTATACATAACAATTTATCAAATGCATTTGTCATATATAGAATTAAGTTCAACTACATCTTCAATCTAAAGAATGCCACACTTATTAAAAGAGAAAGTAACTGACTTAAGACAGAAAATTCTTGAGTGCCATTAATGAATCACCAAAATATAAATCAGTGCCCCAATTTTTTTCAAATATCTCCTTTCCTAAAAGATATACTCTCCCCAATTTCATGTCATTTGTACCTCTTAATAAATGTTGTCTTTTTGTTATCTCTCTTAAACCTTGTTTCACCATTCATTTACACAAGCTCGTTAGGTAGGTTATGGATTGTTTTTCTCTGTTCCTCTTGCCTTCAATATGTCCTGTGAGTATCAAATTTCCAAGCCCTGTGTCCTCATTATGTGCCCTATAAATTTCAAGTATCTCTTCTAGATGTTAAGTATAAAGGGTTACTGTTGTTTCCATTTTCTCTAAAACTTCCTTGTTGCTCACATGTTCAGATCATGGTATTCTCAGCATCCTTCTATAGGACTACATTTCTGTTGATTCAAGTCTCTTCTTCATTTGCAAGGAGATTGTTCAGCATTCATTGCCATATAGGAGGACTGATATTATGTAATAGTTCTGTACTCTTTTCTTTGTTTCTCTGTCTTTCACTGTCCCAATCCCCCTTCTGATTTTAGCATCACACTTTCTGTCATCTATTAAAACACTTCCCAGATAATTAAATTGTTGTACTTATTTGATTCAGGTATCTCTAATTTGTAATTTGTATGCTGAGCTGTTTCTTTTGTTAACAACTATAAATTCTATCTTCTTGCAATTCATGCTTAGTCCTTTATTCATGCTTTCTTTCACTACCTTCTGTACGAGTTCTTGTAGTTTCCTTTCTCTGTCTGCTATCAACTCTGTCATCTGCATATTTTCTGTTGTTAAATTTGATTTAATTAAAAAGTAAAAAAATACTCAATATTTTTTGAAACAGCTGAACCTTTGTCATGTAAATTTCTTTATCACTATTGTATAATGCTTCTTAAACTTTTTTCATTCATGACCCCAGGTATTAACCAACTACACTGAAAATACATATGTTGTCACTGCACTAGTCACAATAGCACCACACACGTTTTATTATCACAGCACGAGTGTGGCGCATCACATTAAATATTGTACATTTGCAAAGTAACATATAAACTGAAATTCAAGTGTTTGAATTTAATATTTGCGACTCCAGCATTTCGCTTTACAACCACATTTGGAGTTGTAACCCATAGCTTAAGAAGTGTTGGTATAAAGTATAGAATGTGTTAGTCTACACTTGGTAGGCTGGAGCTATAATGACAAAAATCTTTAGTATCTGACACAAATGACATGAGATATGTACTTAACTTATTTGATATAACTATGAGTTAGTAGAATATGAGATTCATAATTTACAAATATCTGATCATTTTTGTGGGGTGGGGTGCTGTAAAGGGTAATGTAAATGGGTCATATTTCTATTAATTTTATTCATTATTTCAAATGCTTAACATTAGGTAAATGATGGAGAGTTTTTAATTGGTAATCAATCTATCAATATATTTTAATTAATCTTTATTGTTTTTCAGACAATCAAATTTCATAAGTGGGCAGCACTCAGCAGTACATGTTTTTAATGTTGCTCGTTTATTGCTCACAAATTTGCAATTAGCTTTTACCTTTCAGCTTTCATCTATAATGACCAGATTTGTGGACATACAAGACACTCCCACATCTGTATCATTAAAGCATTATAAAGTTTGACTATGTACAAATATTCATAATTTACAGTATTTGGATAAACATTAACCTCCAGATACTTCAACTTTACAATTTGGGAAGAAAAATAGAGGTCATATTTGTCATCAAAATTTGCTTATTAATTTCCTTCATTATATTGTAGGAACAATCAAAAAGAAAAGGTATTATTAATAATCTGATATTAGCTACAAAAAAGCTTATGGCCATATCACGTTCCTGTATGATCAACAAAGTCAGTACCTAGATAAGTGATAATGAATAATGGCTCAGAATTGTTAATCAGATAGCCGAGTTCTAATTCCACTTGAGTTCATTATATTCACTTATAATCAAATACTCTTCGAAAAGGTATGAATCCATCTCTTATCCAGCTATAGGTTAATTAGTAAGACTTGTATCACTAAATCATTATTATCTAAAAATGAAATGAAAAATAAATCAATTAATTAGCTACAAAAAGCAGTAATGGATTTATGAAATCTACAGTTTTTAATATATTAATTGAACTCTCAGATAGTACTCAGAAAAAAAAAACAATATAAATAATAATAAGCTTTCTAGGGATAAATATAGTGATTATTTTTTGTGATAAGCATTTAAATTAAGCATCGTTTTGAATATTTAAGGAAAATTTACACAAACAGTAATACAAAAATATGAAAACATTATTTCCCCAAATAATTTCAACATTTTTCTTAAACTTATATTTTTAAATTAACTGACCAACCCTTCTATATCCTTATATTTAATGCATATAAAAGAATGCTGTGCTGGCATCAGATAAAACTTGTTTATCATATGAAATCAATGCCACATCCTTACTAAAAATAAATATTTAAAAATACATACAAAAATTAATGTGCAAAAATGTTATTTAAGCCTGTTTCTGATTTCACAATTTATCATTTCCCCATACCTTTTTCCAGCTTTAATCAATGACTTTCCTTAACAGCTCCCATTCTCATTATAATTAACACTTTATAAACATACATCACATTGGAAGCGAAGATTAGCATGGTTCCTATACAAACTAAATATATTACAATGAAAACAGAATGAATATTCTTATTAAAAATACAACACTTCTATTTCTAATAATGAAGACATCCATTCTTAATAATGTCTTATCATTGTCTATTTTATTTATTTTTTTTTTTTTTTGCAAAATTTACATACTTTAGTTTGATCTTTGAGTTTTCTTTCATTTTGGTATGCCAATGTAGTAGTGAGAACTGTAGCAGTATATTTGAAACAATGTATGATGCAGTGTACATCGTCAGGACCAAATCTGAAAAAGAACTAAGGCATTATTACTAACCATTAAAAAAATTATTTTAACATTATAAAAAAATTTAATAATCTTTATAGAATAAGAACAGAAAGTGACATAGTTTCATTAATAAAAATATAAAAATACATCATTCTTTCTTTTAACCAAAATGCCTTTATATTTTTCAAAATAATCTACCTATTCCGTTCATTTGAAAAATAAAGGCTTTCTCTTCAAATGCAATATTTTTATTTTTATTTCATTTTAAAAACTATTAAATGATAGTTTGATAATTTTTCAGATTATTACTTATATGAAAATGTCATTTTAATTATACCATTAAGAAGTTTTATACAGAAACCAATTAATCACATACTAAAATTTCAGTCACTAGAAAAAATTCAAATGTATTTATGGAAGCATAAAATAAATGTTTTTTTACAGTAAACATCATATACATCTAAACATTAACATGAGAGAACAAGCTATACTGTTATAAAGAAAAAAACTGGTGAAAAATTACCGTTTTAGTTAAAGTACAACAAAGTTTTATTGAATTTCCAAAAAGAAAAATCGAAAAACAAAATGATAAGGGCAACTGTAGTGAAAGAATTCAACCAGAAATGCATTGTCCCTTACTAAAAAATCTATTGTAAAACACTGAGTGTTGCATTTATTATAGATATTAATAATGAAATATAAAAACAAAGGAAGTTTTTTTTTATTTGATAAAGGAATTTAATTCAGAGAAATACAAAAATTGACAAAATGATAATAATTTTAGTTTTCCTAATGTTTTAAATTCTAAGAATAAATTAAATATGTTTGTTCAAAGATGTTTCGAATTAGGTTCACTATTAAGCATCTTAAAACTATTTTTCATGCCCAACAAAGCTAATATAAACTGAAGAAATATGTATATATAATACAAGAGAAACAAAACTTTTTGCTGATATATTAAAGTCCTATAAGCCAAATATCGAAAGGATGCAATTTTCATAGTAATTGTGTCTTTTCCTTAACATTAAAAGAAAATAATCATTACCATATGATATTAATTACCAAAATCAGAATTTATTATATCACTTACATCACCTGGAAAAAAATGTCAGTTTCTATAAAAATCAGAATTAATTTTCATCCCATCATAATTACACATAATTATACTCTTACATACATTATTCATCTAACTTTCGAATAAAAGAAATTCCCACAAAATACAAGTAAGCTAAGGGTGTATGAATTTAGTTAGGTTAGATAGTGGCTACACAAACAAGATTACAAAAAACTAAATATAATCTTTGTATTCATGCATAAATTCTCATTTGCAGATGTGACTGTATGAATATAAGAACATATACACTGATGAGCCAAAACATTATAACTACTTACCTAATAAATTGTTGGTCCTCCACATACCTTAAAAATAGCTCTTACTTGATTAGGCAAAGACTATAAAACATTTAAAGGTTTCTTTTGGGATCTGGTATCAGGATGTTAAAAGCAGGTCTTTAAATGCTGTAAATTTGGTAGTGGTGGTGGTTATACAGATGTTGGTCTAATACAATGCATAAGTGCTCAACAGGATTGCAATTTGGGGAGTTTCATGCTTTGGGCAACACATTGAATTCTTTATGCGCCTGAATCTATTCTTGCACAGCTTATGCTATATGACAGGATGCACAGCCATCATAGAAAACAGTTGCCATAAAAAGGTGTACCTACTTTTCAATGATGTTTACTTAGGAAATTTTCTTTATGTCCAGTGGACATAGGTGATCTTGGCTCTCCACAATTTCCTGTCTTTCATAGCCCTTAATAAATTTTGTCATTTTGTTATTTCTCCTAAACCTTGTTCTACCATCCATTTATTCAAGCTCACTAAGTATGTTATGCACTATTTTCCTATGTCCCTCTTTCCTTTAATCTGTCCTGTGAGTATCAGATTTTCCAAGCCCTTTTTTCTCATTATATACCCTAGAAATTTCATTTGTCTCTTCCTGATGTCAAGTATAGGTTTGCTTTTCATTTCTATTTTCTCTAAAACTTTGTTGTAGGTCTGTGATTGAGTTAGAAGGTATATGACCAATGTAAATGATAATGGACTCAGTGTTTCCCAGGAGAACCTTGCCTAAACCATTACAGCTTTCATCAGCTTGTTGTTTTCCAACAGTACATCCTGATGTATTTATTTCCCTAGGATGACACATACTGAAAATGGAATACTACTAGGATATATGGGCAGGAGCTGCCCAGTCTTCACTTTCTAGCCTTGACAGAGTTCAAAAGTGTCTCTGCGTCCTTATGGGTGACAAATTATTTTCCACCTTACTCACAGATGAAACATTACAAGCCTTTCACTTCTCATTCACTATTTCCATGAAAAGTTCTCAGACAAATTATATTCCTTCATTCCACTACTTCTAACCCCCATGGATAAGATCTGTTATGCCATGCACATTGTAGTAAACCACCCTCATTCCCTTCATATTCTATTTGGTGAGATGTAACTTTCACTCTCTGTAACCCCGTGCATACTAGTGGCATTCTCACCTTGCTGGGGATGAAATGATTAAGAAAAAAAAAAAAAAAATTCCACTCAAGCAGCTTCTACCCATGAACCACTTCTTTATGGAACTGACTTCAAAGAGGATGCCTCCCCGATCACTACAATCTTAACCTGTTCAAGTCTACAGTTAACCATTATCTTCCCTACATATCACCATAAACTGTGCCTCTTACTCTGTAAACCTCTACCTTAAGTGGTTCTTGGGCCTTATACAAAGTGAACATCACTGTAAAAAAAAACAAAAAAAAAAAAAACCCTGCTGTTCACCATATTCAGGAGAATGTAAGACTTACCAAACTACACAACCTTCTTTCATGTAATCATTGAAGACACTTTTAGTAATACATTTGTTAGCATAGTTACACTGACTAGCCTTTGGCTATACAACTTTATGTGCAACAAGGATTGATGTTCTTTTTTTTTTACACTAGATTAAAGCTATCTGCAATTAGTGTCACAGTAACCCTTCTATAGGTTCATACTTGATGAGAAAGCCTTCATCCAATTCTTACATCATTAAGTTTTGGTCACCCAATACTTTGTTGATGGGTGATGATTTTACCCTTCCTTAGACCACTGTTAATATGTACTCCCTACAAATGAATGCAAGCACTTCATAAACCATGCTATTTTGCAAATGATATGACCTAATCTTTTAGCCATAACAATATGGTCTTTATCAAAGTTACTCAGAGCTTTCTTTTTATTCATAACTGAAACATTCAACACATTAAAATGAAGTATCTGAGCTTGGCTTATCTGCTTATATATATCTGACCCTGATATGTGTAGCTGTTATAAGACACTAGCTGTCATTCTTGCCACATATCACTGGTCATAAGGTTTTGGCTCATTAGTGTGTGTGTGTGTGTGTGTGTGTGTGTGTGTGTGTGTGTGTGTGTGTGTGATAGTACTTGTTTAATTCAAAAGTTTTTATGTGGGTACTGGCATAAAATGGAGTGACTATATAGAATCAATTTCAAGGTCTGCTGCTAGAAAAGTTGGTTCACTATGTTGTGCCAGACAATTTTTCTTGCCAGAATCTATTATGCAGCTTTATAAATCTACCATTCATCTGTGCATTGAATATTGTTGCCACATCATGTCTGGTGCTTCTGCTATCTATCTAGAAATTCTTGACAGAATCCAAAGAATCTGCAATGTCATTGGTCCTAACCTGGCATCTTGGGTTCAGTCCCTTTTCCACTGCTGTAATGTAGCTTCCCTGTGCCTTTTCTATAAATATTTTCATGGTAATTGTTCTGATGAGCTTTCCTCTTTTGTACCTTCATGAATTTAAGCACAGTAATACATTGGCAGCTAAATTTCATAATTTTACTGTTAAAATTACTTGATGTAACCATAAGTTCTATGCAAATAGTTTCTTCTCTAGTACCTGTTTCTTGTCTCTCTTCTGGCTTCTTGCTTTCCTATCAACTACAATTTTCAAAAATTTAATACAAGTCATCTTCTTCTCTCCTTGAATCCTGTTCTTTAATTCTCTCTTCTTAATATTGTTTTTCACAGATTCTTCCACTGTCAGTAACCCCTTCCATCTTAGTAATTTTATTTCCTTGTTTGGAGTGAAATGATTTAAGAGAACAGAAGAAAATGGGTATTAAATGTGGTGTATTAATATGCATATCAAGAAGAACTACCATTCTTATACTTCAGAGACATTTCTAACCATCTCTAGTTTCCACTCACCTTGATTCTTCTGCTTTGTTTACCACACATACTAATGCAATAAGGCTTTCATCAGCTTTACTTATCACCGGGACACACAAAAATGTCTGTATGCTGATGTTTAACAACTTTTCTAATTCCTTAATTTTGTTCTGAAAAAAAAAAAAAGAGTAAAAAGATATCAGAGATCAAAATTAAATAGAATACAATTTTTAAGTAAATACATATTAAAGAAAATTTTGAAATCTTGGTAATTTTAATGTACTGTTTATCCAATCTGTTGCTTTTAGTATAAGAAAAAATAAAAAAATAAATTGATATAGAATACGTTTAACAAAAAAATTGCCTTTCAATTCCTTTTCTGATGAAAAATACAGAAGAAAAAACAAAATTCATTAAGCAAATTTTTATCCCTCGTTAGGGAACAGTAACAAGATAAGCAGTAACAAAACTAATCATTTAAAAAAAAAATCAATTGATAAATTAAAATCAAAATAATATGTTTTTAAATAGAGAAGAATAATATGCATTAAATCAAGCAATCTGGAGCTTCTAAATATGATAAAGACTGTTTAAATAAACCTTTTTTAAAAATTGTTTCTTTTGAAAAGAAATCCTGAAAAAAAAAAACATTCAGATACATGTTTCATAAAATTTAGGGAATAGAAAATTGACATGAAAGTGTCAAAATTAATTCAAACTCTACTGAGAATTTATTCTCAGTTAACAGATATTCTCATAAAAAAGTCTCAAGATTTATTATGCTTTCTGAAAATACAATCTCGATTGTGTGGAATTTGTTAAATAAAGTTATGATTATTATCATAAAATAAGTATTTCCAGTGAATAAGAACTAAATTAAAAATATGCTATAAATTAAAAAGAAATCTTAATGCAAAACAATTTGTATGAAAATATATTTATATGAAAAATATGAGTAATCTTATATATAAAGTACAGTGTATGTGTATGAATGTGCATGTGCGTGTCCAAGTAACTCCTCTGCTCACATTGGTCTGATTTCAATGGTTCATAGATCATTCAAGAGTCCTAGAAAAACTAGGAGCAGGGAACAATTTTCATTGAGCTTAGATTCAGGGTTGTCAGATTATGCAAAGTTAAAAATATATATTAATCATTATACTAGCCAATATCATTGCTTTCATGGTTCTAGAGAAGTAACTATTATTTTCCTTTTGTATCCAAAATTGCAGTGCATATTTTATTATAAACTAGGTTAAAAGCTAGCTCCTATGGAGGACTCTTGGGAGGAGTAGATGTGATAGGCATCAATAAACCACAGAAGAACTCAAAATTAATCACTGCATTTAAGTATTAAATTAATGTTTAAGCTTACCTTTTAAAAGTTAAATGATAATTCTTCTGCTACCATTTAATTTAAAGATGATTTCATGAACATAGATCCTTATTTTCCATACAAACAATTATTTTTATTTCATGAGACAATTTATAAGATAAAATTGATATAGTATAAAGATGGGAAAATAGAAATTAGAATTAGTTATAAATTCAACTTTTGAAGTGTTAGAGAAACATAATAACTAACTAGCAGTAGAGCCTCCATTTGTTCGGGATATAACAGTAAGAGATAGATCAAGTATCCACCATATAAAGACTGAAAAATAAAATTGACAAAGATTATTGTTTAAGGTTGACGGACACGCATGTCTTAATTATTTTTTTTTTTTTTTTTTCGAATTGGTCAAACCCAAACTCAAACAAAAAACATTGTTTTTAATCGTTATGAGTCTCTACCGATTGAATAGAATTTTATTATAAACAATTGTCTTGTAAATGGAATTTTAAAGCATTCTGAATGTAAAAATAAAGAAAAAAGTGCAAGAGAATAAGAAACACTACATGCCAAAAAAAAAGTGAAGTTTTGTTGAAATCGGTTGAAAAATGTAGGTAGCCTTTCTGTAATCTTTTAGTTTTACAATTTATGATTTTTACTTATTGAATACAGTAATAAAAATTGGACACCATGTGTATTTAAAGTAGTTTCCGTTCAAAAATTATTTTTTTAGTTAGGACTTGTGTATGTTTAGATTTCATTATCTTTCCCTAAAGATAAAGAATTTATCCGATGTTTGTATTCGTACAATCAGTAGAGATCGTTGGATTATTGTTTAAGATTGACAGACACACATGTCTTAATTAGTTTTTTTTTTTTTTACGAATTGGTCAAACCCAAACTCAAACAAAAACATTGTTTTCAATCGTTATGAGTCTCCCAATTGAATAGAATTTTATTATAATTGTCTTGTAAATGGAATTTTTAAAGCATTCTGAATATTAAAAATAAAGAAAAAAGTGTGCAAGAGAATAAGGAACACTACCTGCCAAAAAAAAAAAAAAAGTGAAGTTTTGTTTTATCAGCTGAAAAATATAGGATACATTTAAAGGAACCCACACACACACACAAACAACCCTATGTGAGTTGTCCCCCTTCCATTTTCACGATGTCTCTTAATCGTGTTTTCAAATTGATTTTGTGCAAAAACAATTATATTTTTCCCATTTTTGGTGCTGTTAGAACCACCACAAGGTAATTTTATGTAGTCCTGTGAAGTTTTGTTGAAATAGGTTGAAAAATGTAGGAAATCTGATCCAATATATATAAACATTACAGACACACACACACACACACAATCTGCGTTTTATAATAAGTAAGATTAAGTAAAATCTATATTATGGAATTTATATGACTAAATGCAAAATTGGAGTGCAATTCTACCACAAATTCTGAGATTAAAAAGCCCCAGCTCTACTTTATAGTAAGTATAATCCCTCTCTCTCGTGCAATGAGATGGCATGGCCTTGGGCAGCTGTTCCACAAGGGCTGGCAACCTCTTAGTATAATTTTTCTCAGTTGTGACTCTGTCCTTTGATGAAGGTGTCCCTGAGCACACTCTGCCCAAGGACAGAGATGCAACTGAGAGATGATAATAAACATGTTACAAACTACTCAAATGTAATTTTTATAGTAATTTACAAACTAAAAGCTCAATACCAGTATTATATATTATCTACTCCGAGGCAATATCACTCTTCAGGTTTAACTACTTTGCATATTGATTTTTAAAAAGTTTTTCATTAATTAACTGTCCTTCATTACTGTTCTTTTATTTGTGAATTGTTTTGATTTTCATATCAAAAATAGTTGTTTAAAAATAATGTCTTATATAGTGCAGAAAAGTGTTTGAAATTTGCATTTTACTTGGCCTTCAACATGTTAGCATCTTTTTGTAAAACTTTCCTTAACTATAACAAGCCAATTTATGAATGAAATGTTCATTTAAAATTCTTGTTTCAAAGATTTCAAGTAGTGAATATATCTTACTTTACAAAACAATAGCAAGCAAAGCCTGCTAGTTTTATTATATAGCAAAGAGAATGTCACAAGAATGAGTGATTTAAAACTGAAATTAGGACATTTTGTACCATCACTCCTGTCATTCAGAGATTAAAATCAAACTTTAAAATTTTTCCTTTAAATTTATTTTTGAGCAAGGAAAATAAAACCTATTCTTTTTATTATGAGTGGTACAAAGTTTCCAATTATAATGTGGTGTCTAAATTATACTACAATAAAACAAATTACCTACTTCATCAATTGTCTGAAGTGATTTTACTTTGTAAGTATTCTTTACTTATTTCAATTTTGTCTATAATGCTCACAATTTTATCTTTACAAGAGACAGGATTAAAGAATATACAAGATTTTAGAGATCATTATGATTGGTATCTTGTCCAATAGATTAATACAAGCTGTGTAATTGAAAGTGTTGTCTCGGAAAATTTGATCAGTATTAACCAATTACCTGAAAGAGCAGTGTTAATAAAATAGAAGAAATACCATGTTGTTGGGAAACTGCATACTATGTTCCAGGTAAACTGTGACTGCTTTCTGTGAAAAATTTCCATTTCTTTAGCTCCTCAGCTAGGTACACAGTTAATTTCCTGCTCTATATCTAGCAACAAAGCTAATTTCTTCAATCCTATTCTTTTTGCATCTGAATACATCTGTAGAAATGTCTTGATAAAAAAAAAAAAAAGTTTGCTAATTGATCAGTAGATTAAACAGTAAAAGTAAAAATGGTTAATTCAGAATTATGAACATTAAATGAAAGGTACTAACATTTTCATCAGTTAAATGCTTGAATGGTTCAGTAACACAATTCTCTTTATATAAAACCAAATGCACCTTTTCAAACATTATGTGAAGCAAAATTCCCTCTTAAAAGGCCAATACATAACCATAAAATGTGTTTCTTTTACAAGAATACTGAGATGATGCAAAGTAATTACTGTATAAATGATGCCTTCAATATACACTTCAGTAATAGGTGATGCAAAACATTAAAGATCACTCCTATTGTCAAAATGCATTCAACCCTAAGAGCCGTCAATCTCTTACTGGCCAGGAATAAACCCAGCCATACTTAACTTTGTACCATGGATGAAGAAATAGTAATCCAGGATCATACAGTTAAAAGCCTCATATGCTGATAATGTATATCATTAATGGGCCAGCTCAAGGGAATAATATTGCTCAACACCAACTGACAACCACCCTTTCATAAGTTAATTATTCTGGGAAAATTTTAAATTTAGTTATATCAATTCATCCCAATTGCTATAGTTTCTTCAAACATCTAAAGTGTTGATGATCCCCAAAGTTGAATCAATTAAATGGAAAAATTACCATATATCTAAAATCTTGAGTCAATAATACAAGATTATAAGGAGATAACCAAATATTTTTCAACAACTCAGTGGCAATTGCCAGAGATATGTGATCAAGATTGCAGTGATTACAATGTATTTAGCGAAGTACAACTAAAACAAAATTAAAATAAAATGGTTCTTATTGAGAAAAAGTGCAAAGCAACATTTAGATGATAAAAAAAAAATAAAGAAAGCTATTGAGAGATCAGCATAAAAGACATTCCTTGGACAATACAGGATGCTGCTGTGAAGAAACATGTCACTTGAACCATGTTTTATTACAGGAAACATAGACCATACTCTCACATATGTAACTAACATCTCTGTTGCCAGTTCTCTAACTTAGACCAGTCATCATACACACTTTGTTCTTTTTTTCTCAAACCAATTACTTGAGAAG